TTTTTTTTTTTTTTTTTTTTTTTTTTCTCCAAAAGAATTAAAATAAAATGATATAGTTTTTAGCAATTGTTTTGCTGTTTCTAGTTTTCTCTTGTGGCGATTTTCTTGTTTTCTCCCCCATTGTTTACACCTCAAGGACATCATTTTCTCACTCATGGCCATGTAAAGATAGAACATTTTTTTTTTTTTTTTTTTAATCTCATTTTGACTCTGCCTTTGCCTCAATTTACTCCCTATTTCATGAGAAAATCGGCAAAATCTTTGTTTATTTGCTTGCTTGTTTGTTTTAGGACATTTTATCATTGGTACATGGAGGAGCACATAGTGCTTGAAAGGAAAGAATAGTGAAAAAATGCCTGCTTTGAAAGGAAATGGCACGGTGACTTCGTTACCTCCGCCGGAGCCCAAGTCGCCGCCGGAGCTGTACGGACGCCGGAGGGAGCTGGCCAAAGTACAGTTGGTAGAGAGAGAAATTGGTTTTCTTGAGGTGAGCTTATTTTTTTATGTTTTTTTGGCTTTAAGTTTTTGTTAATCAAATGTTTTTGGTGATGTTTCTGGGTATCTTATGAGCTCTGTGTAGACCTGTTATGTTTTTCAGTCGATTTGCAAAAAGTTCAATTTAGAGTTTTTCCAATTTTTGGTTATTTTCAAGAACCATTTTCATTTGCCACTTACTACTATTTTTCATGAGGAAATCTGATTGGTCGGGAAAAGTGTTCTTTTTAATCCTAACTGTAAGAAACCGGAAAAGCCGGGGAAAAATAGGTGCGATCCCACGACAAGTTGTGGAAACCCCAAGTGAGATTTCATCCCAAAACCAATTGGTGGAAGGAGGAGTAGCCCATTAGACTTATAAATTAGGCCTATTTTTTCTATATAAATTATGTGGGACAATTCAAACGTGAATATTCTAATACTAATACATTCTATTTGTATAAAAAATTATCATGGTTGTAGAAATCACCCGGAAAACTATTTGAGAACAATTTTTTTTTTTTTTTTAATTTTTTCTTTATAGTACAGTAGTGATGGATCCCATTGTTTATTTTTATAGGAAATCTGAAAATTTCTGAAAGTCTTGTTATGTGTGCAGTGCCATACTGGCACCTGGAGCCCAATGTTCTTGAATTTGTTTGTATTTTTTTGTTTGGGTTTGAATATTTAATCTGGTAAAAGCCGAAAAAGTGAAAAAAAAAAAAAAAACACTTTATTCAAGTATAATTTTCCTCTTGAAGATTACAATATGATAAGTTGTAGAAGTTAACCAAAAAGTTGCAACTTGCAACATTCTTGATTTTAGCAACTTGCCCAGATTTTCATGCCAGTGTTTTTTTACCCTCTTTGGTTAAAGAAAAACTTACAGATTACTGACTGACTTATGAATGTGAAAAGTAATAAAATCTTACTCTGTATACACTTACTTCCTTCAATTTTGAAAGACAACAGCCACTTGCACAGTTACAACACAAATTCTGGTGTAGTTAAGAAACAGATTTTAAAAATGTAAAAAGGGTCTTATGTATCTGGTGCCAATGGCTAATATTACGACTGACTCGGCAGGGTTTACGTTTAGTTTTCTAGTTGCCGGAATAAAAAAGGAAAAACAACGATTTTACCTTGTTGTTTTTTCGCTAAGTCAACGTGTAGTTAGCTCTTAAATTCTAATCGTCATATCGTGCTAAAATGATTTTGTTTCCGTTTACTGAGCTTGATTCAGTTTTGCCTGTTGCTGTGTTAGACTTTTGCTTGTGCGTGAAAATATTGGGAGGAAGTAATATATGGGTGGATATATTTACTTGATATTTTGTTACGAGCAGGAAGAACTGAAATCTATCGAGGGACTTCAACTGGCTTCAAGATCCTGTATAGAGTACGTTATTTTTTCCGGCCATGTATTAGCTTAGAAATGGGAATTATTGAGTTATTTTCATTAGCATGAACACATAATCAGCTATGATGTGTTAGTCGAGCAGGGTTGTAGATTTTGTGACGGCAAATGTGGATCCTCTCATACCATCGTAAGAACATAAACCAATCCCTTAATCTTACAAGTCGATGAAAATATCCAAGTTGCCGTTTTTCAATGTCTCATAATCATTAAGTTCTTTTTTTTTTTT